TAGGAGCAGACTTTCCCTCACATCCTCTGCTGGCTTGCAATCCTCCAGGGCCATTTGGTGGGTAAAGAAGATTTAATTCAAACCCACAACCTAGCACCACCTTTTCATTCCAGGGTCTACCACGAGGTGGTAAGGTAGGAGGCAGCAGAAAGTTCTGGCCACTGGCATGTGGAAACTTGTCTGCCCAACACCTGGTGAGGGAGAACCCGAGGCAGCCCACACATGCCCTGGCAGGTAACTCTTATCTTTTACCCTTAACGAGCCACCCAGCAAGGCTGGCCTCTCCAATGGCCACAGTGTCAACCGTTTTATTGACAAGTTTCACGTGGGTCTCAGCTCCATGTTTGCTCAGTGTTTCCCAATCCTGGCCAGCGTTTGGCACACAGCTGTGGGGCTCATGGGAACACCTGGCACACCCAGGTTGGATGGAGCAACTGTCAGAGAAGAGCCCAGGCAGGTGCCAGTGACAAGACCATCTCAGCTGGGAGCTCAGGGACCAGACCTGATTTATGCCTAACATCTTGGGCCTCCTGAGTTTTTACAAAGACCCACAGGGCAGTGGCTTTCCCAACCTTTTCCAGCATGAGAATCCTTTTGAAAACCAGCAATTAATCTAGAAAGACTGGGAAATTATCATGAGATCCCTTCATGACAGTAGATGCACCTTTAGTATCCTTTGAGAAAATGTGTAAGTCAGAATACAGTTCTCAGACACCTTGCAATAATTCTGCCTTACCTTACCCCCAATAAGGTCTGCAGTTCAATGTTTGGAACTTTCTTTAGTTATTTAGAGAATAGAGTGGTGGTTTTCCATCTAAACTTGATGATTCCATTTACTTGTTTACAGCTCCTTAATGATCTGTGTATATGTGTATATCTGTATCAGTACCTACATCTGTATCTAGTACACAACATTGGATTAATATAATTTTGGTGCTATGACACACTCCCACATATGACCTTTGTTCATCCTACATTCGTGTGTGTGTGCATTAGTAGCTGTATACCTTTAATAGCATAATAAGCACCTGGGAACCCATGAGCCTACTTGAAAGCTAGGAACTTTCCACTCACTTACGTTTAGCTAAGTGTCCTCTCCCAGGCCATCCCCATGCTTCCCCCAACCCCACCAGCATGCTGAATCCCATGTCCATTGTTTCCTCGATTTCCATTTTATGTCCAGTTTTGTCTTCTCTATGTTCAGAGTGTCTAACACAGCAATCGCTTTTATCTGTGGAGCACCTACTCTGTGCCAGGCGCCACACTAAGTACTTTACACCCCTAACCTCGCCTAGGTCCCACCCTATGGTAAGTGACCACCACCCTCTATCCCCATTTCCAGATTGGAGAGCTCAGAGAGGCGGGGTGCCTTGTCCAAGGCCACCTTGGCCTGCAGTGTGCATTCAGTGCCAGCCATGTGGGGATCAGACAAGCTTCCAGGAGTGAGGACTCTAGATGGTCACAAGACACCCTGGGTCTTGTTCATGAGGGACAAAGGCCTGTGCCGCAGGTGTGGGGAACCCTCTGTCTCTTGGACATCTCAGTGCACCCTCACCTCTTCCTGGTGCTTTGGGGAACTCCCTGTGCGTGGCATCGAATGCCAGGGCAGGAGTTGACCAGGGAGCTGAAGCTGCCTCAGAAACAAACCCAGGAAGAGCTCCTCCCTGAGCCACTTTCTGCGGCTCTGCTAGGGCTGGCTTCTTACACTGCTTGTGACTGTTGTCATTCGACATGTGTGCTACTGGCTTCTTGTCTGGTCCTCTGTCTGTCCACTGATATTTCTCACCATCGTATCCCCACCAGTTGGCCTGGCACCTGGTGAATATTTGTAGGATGGATAAAAGAAGGTATAGGGTCTAGGGGAGGGAGACAGATGTACAACAACTTTCAACTAGATATGGAGGTTGCTGTTCTTGGGGAGGGTATGGGAGTTCAAAAGAGCTTCTGGGGACATCTGGGGACTCCCCAAGAAGGTGGCATTGGAGTAAGAGATCAAAGGGTGAAGAGGAGTTTTCCAGGCAGGGTAGATAAAAGGGGCATTCTGGGAGGGAGAACAGCATATGCAAAGGCATGGAGGAGGGAAGGGGGACACTGATACTCCAGAAATGGCTTCTGATGGCCTCCAAGACAATGTCTGCTACCAGGACACTGTCATGGGTCTTGGCTCCTTGGGGACAGAGCTGAGCTGCCCTGAGACAGGGATTTGATTGCAATGAATAGAGCCATGTGCCATCCAGGGCTTCCCGAGACTGGGCTGGGCTCTGGAGAGGCAGTGCCTCCTGCCTCTGATGGCTTGTACTCTGGAGACAGACCTGGGTTCAAGTCCCAGCTCTTTCACCTACTGGTGAGGATTTTGGGGAAAGTTAGTTGAGTTTCTTGAGCCTTTATTGTGCCACCCATGAATTGTGAATACCAACTATCTTAGAGAGTTATTGTGAAGATCTGATGAGATGGTGCTAGTAAAGCAAGGAACCAGCACCTGGCAGAGGTTAAAGGACTCAGCTGTGAGCTCAGTTCCTTGGCAATGACACCCTGGCCTCCCTCAGCAACCCAGAGTCATTAGGGCTTCCCAGCCATCTGTCTGTTCATTCATTTGTCGTTTGTCCCAAGGGTGAGTGAAGCATATTGTTCCTGTCTTACGTGGCTCCTGGTGCACCAAAGGAACCAACATCTTTCAGAGGTCTCCTCAGTAAATGTTAGATAATCACTCTGCTTAGTGCTGTGGAGGAGGGCTTTTGTGCTCTGAGGTTTACCATAGGAAATCTGACCTAGCAGGGGGTTAAGAACAGTTTCTGTCGGGATCTGAAGGAGGCTTTAATTAGAGTGGGAGGATGGGTCGGGGGAGAGACATTCCAGGCACAAGGAGCAGCGTATACAGAGACTCTGTGGAAAGGGTGGGGCTCAAGGCAATGCACCAGGGGCACTGAAAAGGGACCCTAAATGAGCTGGACACACCCAACCAGCTACTCTGTCTTCTTTGCTTTCCTCTCCTTACCTGGCAACCAGAGTTGTCCCAAGTCTCCTGGACCTCATCCCAGAACACACAATGGGACAGGAAGGTGGTGATGCCGACTGTGAGGTCCCTGCCAGGGGCTGGCTCCAAGTGAGACTCGGGGATCACAGTCAGATAGTAGATACCTTCTCCAAAATGCAGGTCCTCTGGGCTCAGGATCCATGTGGACAGCCCATCTGTGGGAAGGGGGCCTCTAGGTCAGCCTGATATCCTAGGAGTACCCTCTCCTCCTAATACCAGGAGCATAGAGGAAGAGGCACTTCCAGGTCAGGGTGCAGAGCACGGCTGCCAAGTCAGACAGACAAGGGCTCAAACTCTGACTCTGTTCCTTCTTGGCTGTGTGACTTTGGACCAGTTACTTAACCTCTCTTTTTTTATCTAAAAAGTGAACATTTCAATAGTCTTCATCCACAAGGGTTGTCATGAGGATTGCAATGAGGTCAGTTCTGTAAGGGCTTGTTAGCTTCCTCAGGGCATATAGTAAGTGCTCACGTAATATTGCATAATAATAATAATAGTAATTATCATCATCATCATAATACCAACAATAAAAATAAGCACTGAATGTAGTGAGTATTTTTTTTCCCTTTTTTCTTTTTCCCTGAGCTTCTGATTCTAAAGTTTTAAGCTCGTCACACCTCCAGGAAGCAGCTTAAGAAACTGGCCCAGTGGTGACACTACCTGGAGCAGCCATTGGTGGCAAGTGGACTTGGGCATCGTAGCTGGTCTCGTTGGGGTGGTAGCCATAGCCCAGGCTGAGCGTGAGTGGGATGTCAGGTCTCCAGTGCAGCTGGATCCCCAGAGCCGCTCCTCCTGAAGTCAGGTTCACCCACAAAGCTTCAGAACTGGTCAGGTTCAGAATGGTTGGCTCACTGTGTCCTTCTGGAAGCCGAGGCAGCAGAATCTGTCATCAGAAAGAATCAAATCAAGGGTGTGCCAAGCCAGGATGCGGTAAATGTCAGGGCTGCTGGGCCCGGGACCACCTGGGGAACTGAAATCCACTCTGTGCTCTGCTGTTTCCATTAGTGTCCTGTGGCAGCTGTAACAGATGACCACGAACTTGGTGGCTTAAAACAACACAAATTTATTCTCTTACAGTTCTGGAAACCAGAAGCACCAAATTGGGTTCACAGGGCTATAGTCAGCAGGGCTGTTTTCTTCTGGAGCCTCCAGTGGAGAATCCACTTCTTTGCCTTTTTCCAGCTTCTGAAGGTGCCAGCCGTCCTTGGCTCGTGGCCCCTCCTTGCATCACCCAACCTCTTGCTTCTGTCATCAAATCATCTTTTTCTTTTCTGGTGTCAACTCCCCCTCTGCCTGCCTCTTATAAGGACCTCGTGATGACACTGGGCTCACTCAGATAATCCAGGATCATGTCTCTATTTTAGGATCTTTAACTTAAATCACATCTGCAAAGTCTCTATTGTCATGTCAGGTGACATATTCACAGCTCAAGGATGAGGATGTGGACATATTGGGGGCCTTTATCCAGTTCATGCTCATCAAGCTGTGCACCCTGGCTCAGAGCTGCATCTGCACAGAAAGATGCACAGAGGTGCCACGTGAACTAGTGATGTTGATGATGAAAGTGTGGAGCAAGTAAAAGTAAGTTGGGAGCACAGGCTGCAGAGGCAGAGAGACCTTTGTTTGATCTTGACTCTGCTCTCTGTTAGCTCTGAGACCTCTGGACAGTTCACAAACCACTTTGAACATCAGTTTCTAGTCATCAGTAGAATTCATAGACTCATTGAGATTGTCAAAAATGTTATCATGTACAAAATAGCCAAGTGCCAGATATACAGCAGCACCCAACAATGAATCGCTGCTATTGCTCTGCTTTTAGTCTTAAATGAGATGTTCTTCTAACCACTCACCATTTAATCAGCTCTCCAGATTAACTGATGCCCTCCGTTCCCTTTTTAAAATAGAATGGTTGAGGCCCACCATGTACTTTTTGTTTGCTCCTGGTGGCCCTCTATGGTAGGCCTGGGAATATGCCACCCAGCTCTCCCTTCTAGGAAGGACCTGCTGCCCTGTTATGGGGAGTATAGTCAGCAGGCAGTCTCTAGCTCTCAGCTCCTTCAGGGTCTGTCCTGAAGAATTTACTAGTTATATTTCCTGAGTTGTATTTCCATGCCATGCAGGGCCCCAGGGGAAGCACCTGGTCAGGCTGCAGAAGCAGGGGTGGCGGAAAGCCTGGGCCATGGCTTTTGTTGGGGTTTCTACAGGAAAGGCAAGGCAGGGCAGAGCACACAGCTGGGATTGGCCAGTTTGAATCATTCTGGCAGGCTTTGGCCCTAAGGGTGGTCTCTAGTTGGTACCTGGTCCTGGGATGATCTCAGGCCGGGCTCGAATAATTGGCCAGTGTGTGAGGGTAAGATAAAGGGGCTGGTTGGGGTATAGGCTCAGGACTGGTTGTTTTGCACATGCAAGGGTGCCCTGGCAGAGCCCTTGCTCTCTCTGAGAATTGGCTGGCCCTGGGAAGGGCAGTCTCTTCCCCAGCAGCAAAAATTTTAAGATATCGAAACATCATAAGACTTAGAAAACTGCACACTTGATTGATAGAACGCTGGTGGCAGAGCCCCACTCTGGGCTGACTGAGACTTTGTGGGGTCTGATTGCTGTCTGACTCCTGCCCAGCCCTGTCTTCTTTCTTCACTCTTCACAGGTATGGATCTCTAGCAAACATCTTGGACCACTATCTCCTTCTCAGCGCCAGCCTCTGGGGAACCCAACCTATGACATCTCCTCTCTAGTAACCCTGGCAGCTAACTCCTGCCAGTCGGGTGGGATGCTCACCAGTAGGCAGTTGTGTCTGACCCCAGGCCCACTTACATCCATTGTACTCATGATGGTGAAGGTCAACTTTGATGCTATCTCTCACAGAGAGATGTAATGTGATAAAGGAGGCGTGTGAAAAGAATTCTTTGCATTAAAAACGTAAGTTGAAGGCTTTGAAAAGACTCAATAAAGGTGAGTTGTGAAAAATTGTTGTTGGATTAGTCATTGATGAGAAAGCTGTAGAAGATTAGAAAAAAGCCATTAAAATCTCAAAAGAATCTGAACTCGTATTACACCAGTATGCCTATGTTTTTTACTCACTTTAAAGAAAATCTAACCATGTTAAGAGGGTGATTTATGTAATGAAGATGATTAAAATTCCAGTCAAAAGATTTAAAGAATCTTTCAGTTATATACCTAAAGATTGATAATGATGTACATTTATGGTTTAAGTTAAAATACAATGTTTAAGGTAGGGTAAGGATTGTTTTTAATAATTCTCTGCTTTAATCTTTCTTTTTTTCCCCCATAACTGACGAACTTTTGGTTCCAACCCAGTCAAAGAAGACAGAAGGACCACCTGACTTCTGAGAGCACCCCCAGCATCTACCTCGATGTTCTCCGACAGATTCTTCACAGGTATGAGCCGTCCACTAGGGCTGGTCAGAGAGAGGCCACCAACAGTTCCGCTGACATCAAAGTGACTTCGGGTTGGGAAGGGGCTTTTTGGGAAACTTATCATCTGAAACCAAGAACAGAGAGTGTCAGCGAAGGCCCTGAAGGTCCCTATGTGAAAGATGAGGTTTCCTGAGATGAGATGGTAAGCAGCCCTTGCCCTGTGGGGTGAATGCAGAGCCCCACCTTTAGTTGCTGCTGGCTTTCCTGGTGGGAGTCTGCCCTTCAGGGTTGTGGCCTCAGAAAGCTGGGCCTAGACACGAAGTCAGGCCTTCTACAGCCGAGCAGTACTGGACTGCAAACAGTCTGAGCCTTTCTTCTGACAAAGCCAGCAAGTCTCTAAGAGGAAGAAGTCTGTCTGCTTTCTCTGAGGCTCAAAGAGCAGAGAGTCGTATGTGCCCTAATTTAGGAATGGAAAGAGCCCTGAGCTTACCGTTTCCTAGTCATGGAACAAAGTCCGAAGAGCTTCATTTTCAATGACTAATTGAACCCAGGCTAATGGAGAAATTCCACCACAGAGTGAGAAGAGGATGGATGGGGGAGTCAGAAGGCCTGGGTCTGAATCCCAGCTGTGCCACTTTGCTTGTGGCCTTGGGCCAGTCACTGAACCTCATCTGTAAAATGGATGTAATAATACTGCATAATGGACAGAGCTGTTATGAACATAAATGAGCAAACATATGTGCAAGTCCTTTGCAAACCGTAAAGGGCTGTTCTCATGGAGATTCTTTCTATTGTTACCCTTATGTCCACAGGCTCCTGACTGTCCTCTGTGGAGCCAAAGGATGGGACAGCAGGAAGGGTGAAGGTCGCAGAGCTGGCAGCAGCAACATGCACAGAGGAACCTCGCCAATTCCAGGGCTGTATTCTGTCCGCAAGGTGAGAACAGAGGTGCCAGAGAGAGAGAGGAGAAGGTCAGTGTCAGGGGAAGCTCTGCCTGCCTCTTGCACTACAGGAAGCCCGGCTTTAGCATCAGAGTGGGCGGCTCTATTTTGATTCCTTAGATGGTTCTGCATGTTTGTGCCAGTAGGAGCAGCATAACAGGCTGGGCTAGAGGCTCCATGAGGACAGGGCTTTGACTCATGTGGCACCCCAATGCCTAGGGCAGTGCCTGGCACATGACAGTGGTGAATACATATTTTGTTGAATGAATAAATGAGCTTGGATGTAGACATTTCTTCAGACTTATCTCCCCTACCTACTTGACCCCTAATGTTGTGGGCTCCCATGAAACCATCTTCATTGGCCTTTGACCTTGTCCCATCTGAGTAGACTGGGGACCTTGTTTCAGATGCTCATCCTGATCAGGTTGCTTCCCCTGGGATCCAAGAGGACAACCCTGGCAGGAGGAACCAAGGGTGTTCAGTGCAGGGGGTCCCAGCGATGCCTACAGTGTCATCCAGCCCCTGATTGGCAGGTGGAGGAACGGAAGTGGGGAGGGCATCCCCAGGTACTGAAGGGCTCATGAGAGGTAGGCAGGCACTCCACGGAGAAACTCTCAAGGCAAGTGCATCTTGAGTCCCCACAGGTCCGTGGACCAGTGGGCTTGCCAGACATACCCTGGGTGAGGTTAAAAGTGAGCTGGTCCCCTTCCTTCAGGGCCTTCACCTGCACAGCCCAACATGACCCATCGCTGAGGACACGTGGGTGGCTCTGACACTGGCGTGGCACTCACCACCTCCACTCCTGTGCTGTACAGATACCCAACACGAGGACCTCCTCTTGGTGGAAAGCTCTTCCCACTTCTTGGTCCCATCACTTCCCCCACCTGCAAGGCGGGTCTTCTGGGCTCTGCCTGTCACAGGGTCTTGGGATATGGGTGTGGAATGAGCTGGGTCAGGGGATGAGCTTTCTTGGACCCACAGTACAGCTGGTTACCTGCTTGTGTACACAGAGATGGAGGGGGTGGCCAGAGTGGCTGGAAGGCCCCCAGGCAGTCTTCCCAGCAGGAGGGCAGCCTGCACGTGCTCCACGGCTCTGAGCACCTGGGATACTGTGGCTGTCTGGAAAAGGAAGCAGGGGATACTGCTGAGGACCGGTCTCCATATACCACCTCTGGTTACCATCCCCAGGTGAGTGTGGGACCTGCAGCAGGAACTGGGAGAGGGCAGAGGAGCGAGGCAGAGACCATGATTGAATGCCTTTCATCAAGCGCCAGGCACTGCAGGGAACAAGGAGTAAGCACTTAGGAGCTTCCAGTGCTGGATTTATGTGAACTCTTGTCATCCTCAGACAGCTCTGTGAGCAGGTGGTTTTACCATCCCCATTTAGCAGACAGGGAGACAGAGGCACAGAGTGGATGAGTGACCTGTGGGGGTCACGTGTGGATCAGAGGAAGCACCCAGATCATGGCGAGGCGTCTGCATCTGGGCTGAGCCATCACACTATGTGCCTCTCTGTGCTGCTCCCCTGACATCCACCCACAGCCCAGGTCTTATTCTTGGGGAAATGGAAAGCCACAGGCACAGCCATTCCTTGGGTCACCCGGGCTCAGAATCGGCTCCACACCCGACCCAAACCCCTGGAGGAAGATGTGGCCTCACTGAAGCCAAGGCAGGTGTGAGGACCCCAGGAGGGCTGGATGGTTGCACAGAGTTCTTATCAGGGCACAGTTGGTGCGTTCATGTGAGTGGATGTAAGTGTGTATATGAGTGTGGAGGGGATGTGTGAATATGTGTTTGAGTGTGTATATGTGAGTAGAAGAGTGGCTATGTGTGAATGTGTGTCTCTGTGAATGTGGTTTGAGAGTGTGTGTGAGTGTAAGAGAGCATAAGTGAGTGTGCCTATGTGGTTTTGTGTGGTTCGTGAGTGTGACTGTAACCATTTGGGAGAATCTGTGTGTGACTGTGTGACCATGTGTGAAGATATGAGTGTAATTGTGCATCTGTGTGAGTATGTGCTGCAGTGTGTGCTTAGGGGTGTGTGTGAGAGTATAAGTGAGTGCCAGAAGTGTGTGTGTGAGAGTGTGACTGAATGTGTGTATGACTGTTAGTATTTGTGGTTGTGTGGGTATAAGCATTTTTGTCTTTGTGGCCCTATGTGAGCATATGACTTTGTGTGTGTGTGTGTGTGTGGTGGGTGGTAAGAGAGAGAGAGAGAGAGCTCTTCCTCAGTGGAGTGATGGCCCCATGTGGTAAAGGACTGTGGAGCAGCGGGAAATGGGTTTTGTGGCTCCGTCATGATGACGTCCTGGGAGGCCTTGCCCCTCATGCCCTCTCTGGGTGCTGGGGCTGCATGAGAATGCACTGCATCTGTCCTTTCTCTGGGGGCTGCCTCTCCTCTAAAAATGTTCTGTGGCTAAGCGAACCAGGAGTTGAATTTAAATTTGCAAGGGTGGACCTACGATCTCTCTAGCTGGTGGCTTCTCCAGGATGGGGCAGAACTCATCCACCCACAGAGGAGGAGATGAGGCTGCAGAAAGTTATGTAACTTGCCTAAGTCACCAGGCTTATAAGTAGCAGGGCAGGATTCGAACTCAGGCCACTTCCTTTGGAGCCTGTGCTTGGCCTGCTATAGCACACTGCCTTCCAGAAGCTCAGGTCATTGGAATCTTTCCTCTAGCTCCTAGAAGGGACTTTAACCTCTGCATCTCAGTTTCCTCATCTGTACAATGTGGAGAAAGATCCACCTAGAAGTGCTGGTGTGAGCTGAGCACGTGGATAGTGTGAGGTCTGCACTGGGGCTGGGGCACTTACTTGGCTGCTGTTGGCTTCTGCAGGTGCTTCTGCTCTGTCCCTCAGAGATGCTTCCAGCACGCTGCCCACAGCCTGGAACAGGTCCCTGGTGGCCGCCTGGCGCCTCCAGTTCTCAGGATGGGCCTTGGCACTCACTACCAACAGGGCCTCGCTGGCACGCTGCAGAGCACAGCTGGCCTCCCACTGGGCTCACCCAAAGGAGAAGGAAGAACAGCATGAGCCCCTGCGTGGGACAGACCATCCCCAGCACCATTCAAGAGGCCAGTGCTGCAGTGGAGGGGAGCAAGGTGGGGATTCAAGCCAGGGAAAATCCAGCCAGGCCCGACACACAAGCTGCCTGTATTGCTGACTTGAGGGCAGGTAGGTGTTCCTTCCCTATAATGTGCTAAGTTCCTTAAGGACAGTAGCCTAGTCCATCTCTGAATCTTTCCCAGGGTGACTTGCACAATGCCCTGCATAGCAGGCATTCAGTAAACCCCAACTGGGGGTGGCTGGCTGGATGAATGGACATAGCAGTTATTACAATTTTGTAATTATATATGTATTTGTGAAATGACTTTTTTAGTGTCTGGCTGCCCCTGTGGTCTAAAAGTGCCAGGAGGGTAGAGGCCATGTCTGAGATTTGCTGCTGAATTTTCACTGAGAAGGTCCCAGGCAAAGATAGGAGCTGGCAGCTGGACATCAGTGTACTCAAGTGGAGGACATGGGCAGGTCAGTAGCAGCATCTGGACACACACTTGACCACCCAACGATTAGTTAGATTCAGGTCCTCACTGGCTGGTCGGGGAGTGAGGTGTGTGAGCACACAGGCCATCACATCCAGAGTGAGACACAGGGCTGCAGGAGAGGACTATTCCCTCCCTTGGTACCACCCATGCATGACCCTTGGAAACAAGATGGCATAGTCTTGGCGGCCCTGTGACTGAGGGACCTTTGACTTGGGCTTTGTAAGTTGTTAGCCACTCACCATGGAGGTACATGTCCTGTGGCCTGGCTCAGCAGGTAGGAACTACTCACCTGGGACAAAGGAGTGAGCTCCTCACTGCGGTGGGTCACCTCTTTCAGCACCTCGGCCAGCCCCTGCACCCTCTGCATGTCCTCCAAGGTGGCATTCATTGCAGACAGTGACCCCAGGATATGCTCTCTGACCTTGGCACAGAGGGAGGAAGGTGGGGAGAGGAAACGTCATTCCAGTGGCTTAATGAAGCTGTTTCAGGAAGATCTGGGGTCAGAGCAAGTGACCAGGCTCATCTGGGGTTCTTCCAAGCCAGGAGACCTCTGTTTGTCCTCAAGGATGGGTGGTGGGCAGAATCATAGTCTCCGAAAGATAGCCACATCCAAATCCCTGAAACCTGAGAATGTGTTATCTCACATGGCAGCAGGCACTTTGGCAGAATCTCTTTGGAGATTTGATTTAAGTTAAGGATTCTGAGATGGGAAGAGTAGCCTGTGTTAACTAGGTGGGACCAATGTAATCACAGGGGTCTATAGAAGAGGGAGGTAAGAGGGTCAGAGTCAGAGAAGGAGGTGTGATGATGGAAGCAGAGGTGGTAGAGAGGGACAGGGAGATGGGGAGGAGGGAGGGAGGGAGAGGACGGGGTGGGGAGGGGAAGACAGTGGAGGGAGGAGGGAGAGGGGTGGGGCTTTGAAGACGCTAGTGTCGAAGATGGAGCAGGGAATGTGGACAGCTTCTAGAAGCTGGAAAAGCTGAGGGATGAATTCTCCCCTAGAGCCTCCAGACAGTCGACAGCCCTGCCAACACCCTGAGTGAGACTTATTTCAAACTTCCGACCTCTAGAACTGTGAGATAATAAGTTTGTGTTGTTTTAAGTCATTAAGTTTATGGTCATTGTTATAACAGCAAGAGGAAACTAATACAGACTGTCTTAAGCTTTCTCCAAATGTTCAAATCAAATCTGTAAAATCTGGCGCTATTTAAATGCAAATCATGTCTCAGGGTGTACCTGTGACTAGAATGGCATGACATTCAGAAATCAGATGACTTTGTTGGCTCAGTGTGGATGGGAGAGCTTGTTGCAGGCTTGGGTCCCTGGATGCCTTTGGGGCAATGGGGACAAGGATCCCTTTAGCCATTTCCCAACTCCTGCCTTAAGCCTCCAGCCCATGGATTCACTCAGTGGGAGGTGAGAGGACAGGAGGATAGAGACCTGGAAGCTATTCTGCCGGCACCCTCCCTGCAGGGTTGCCTGCCTCACTCTGCAAAAGCCACTGCTCCTACCAGGGGGCCCTCCACATGCAGCTGCCCCTTGTGGATTCTGGTCACTTCAGCCTGAGCCCTTGGGGTCCTGTGTTCTCTCTCATTTGTTTCCAAAATCTTGTCCCCACTTTTCTCAACAGAGCTCTTAAAACCTTCTGCATTGCCCAGTTAGAGCTTGACATCTTTTCCCTGCCAGGACCCTGGCATTTCATGGGAAGACCTTGGGACAGGCTGTGCAGGACAGGACCACAAGATACCCAAAGGAAAGTTTGCCGTAAGTGATGCTCGGGGTGAATGAGAACCAGCTGGAGTGTGTGTGTCGGGGCAGGGGGGACTAATGTGAAGAAAAGGGCTGGGATGAGAGAGCTGGAGATGGACGGAGGAGGAGCTAACCTGGGTTTGAACCCGGCTTCACCACCTACTGGAAATGTGGACCCAGGAAAGCTACTCACATTCTCTGAACCATGCTAAGTACTTTCGTGGAAATCCTTCAGGGACCAGAGAAGTCTGTCTTCCATTCTCCATGCCCAGCAGCTGTGTGATGCTGTGTGCAGTGCACGCAGGTAGCATGCCTCAGGGTGCTTATTCCTATTTGTGTAGCATGCACTGGGAGTCATGTCATACGTTCTGCCGTAGTTGTTTATAAGACTAGGTTGTAACACATGGGACGGCCATTCTTGTGGATTAAAACTGGCTGAATGTTAGCAAGTTCATACATTTTGACCTACAGCTACAGTACACATAATTCCAATTTAACTCTCACCACAACTTTAGAAGGAAACTGAGGCTTAAAGAGATTTAGTCAGGGGCCTGTGACAATAGAGACGGTAAGTGACAGAGCTGGAACAACATCAAACCATTAACCACATGACTAAGACAGGATCATTTTTCTCCTCTGGGCCTTGGTTTCATCCTCTTTAATAGGAAGAGCTTGGAGTGGTACCGTCTCAACTCCCTCCTGCCCTGGAAACCTGTGACTCCATGAGGCCAAGCACAGAAAGCAGGTTGTCTTCACTCTGTGTCATTCACTGAAAGGACCAGAAGAGGGAGGTGACATTTGCAACTTGGAAAACACCAAAGGCTTCTCTATGGACCTGTGGACCCCACTCCCCACCCCGAATGGCTATGTACAGACCCTGGGGCCCCACAAGGGACAAAGGAGCCCATCTGCAGTACCTTCTGTCTGGTGTCCATTCTCAGTGGCCCCCCAGAGTCTGGCCCCTGGCACTGCTGGTTCAGCATGGATGACACGGACTTGGCCAGCTGGAAGAGCCGCTCAGGGCCACACCCTCCCTGCAGAGTGGCAGTGACATTTTCCCACACTGCGGCCTGGAATGCCTCATCCTCCACATGGATGTCACCATGTCCCACCTGATGGGGAGACCAGAGACGTGCTCAGAGCAGGAGGATCTCAACTTACCAGTTTTTTTTTTTCTCTCGAGAACCTGGAGCCCGAAGCCATGGGTCTGCATGTGGTAAAGCAGAACAGGGCTGGAAGGCTTTGCACCTGGCATAGGGACTCTCCTGAGGCTTGAGGGCAGAGGACCCACTCGTACTAGCAATCAACAGCCACCAAAAGCAAGTCTCAGGCAGGTCATTCCTTCACCCCTCACTTCCCTCCTCATCATACTCTTGGGGCCCTTCTGACCCTTGAAATTCACTGCCTTGGCTGATCTTGGTCCTCCTTCCTCCAGACTTGGAAGGCACTAGCCTAATGCATCCCTGAGTCCTTCTACTCCCAACCCTCCAAGGTCCCCTACCCCAAGTCCTTCCCCTATACTGGCCACTTGTCATAAGATCTACAAAGGTAGAGACCATGTCTGTTTTGTCTATGGCTGTATCCGCAGAACCAGAGCTGAAGGAGATGCTCTGTAAATACGTGTTGAAGAAATGAGTGGATCAACCACTGGTCATGCGCTTGGCTCCCTTCAACCTTTGGTGAGGTTCAGATTGGTCAAGAAGTTGTCTCAGTAGAAAAACAGTGGCTGCCACCCACCTTAACCACTGTGTGGGTCTGCTGTCTGTCCCCCGCATGATTGGAGACAGAAATGACCACTGTCAGCATGAAGTCATTGTTTTCTTTTCCAAGTGGCAGGTAAACTGAAGGGAGAGCAGGTTCAGGGCCACAGTGTAGACAGGAACCTGGCAAATGGACACTGAACAATTAGGGGGGCATCTCCAGGCCTCAGGGAGACTGCAGAACCACCAAAGTAGAGCCTGATGACAAGGACATAAAAGCCACAGCCCAAGAAGTCATTCGGGGACTCCTTCCTTTGAGGGAGAAGACAGTCATTTATGCTGATCCACTGTCCTCTGTAGGTAACTGCATGCTGCTGTGACTTTGGAATAATTGTATTAAAATCCATGAAAGATTTCAGGAAAATGATCGCCCATGTACAAGTTTCTTTCTTTTTTTTTTTGTGTACAATTTGGAGACTATAGCTAAGAATATTGTATACAGTCATCCCTCAGTATACATGGGGGATTGGTTCAAGGTACAAGTTTCTTTTTAAGTCAAGGTGGTAAACCAAATCACTAAAAGAAGGAGAAAGAGGGGGAAGAGGAGAAGAAGATCTTAACAATTAGTTCCAAATATATTCAAGCCCTGTCAAGTGTCACTTCTCATACAAAGGCCTTCCCAGATGGCTCTGTCTAAACCAGCACTCCCTGTCATGTGCCTTTGTCTACCAGCTGTCTCCACCGCTAACTGTAAGTACACTGAGGTCAGAGATTTCCTGTTTTATTCATTGCTGTGTGTCTAGCACCCAGAACAGAGCCTGACATTCAATACATGTTTGTGGTAGAAATGAATGAATGAATGAATATCTTTAAAAAGGGGACTGCCCATCACTGGAATCACTTTTCATTGTAGTGTGTAGACAATCAGGAAGTTATTGAATTGCAATTGACAAGTCATCTTTATATAGTCACACTTCCCTGACCTTTTTCTCCCCTGTGTGAGGCAGAGGGAGGGACTGGAGTGCAATAACCAGTCGGAACTGGAGCAGCTAGCCTGGCGTCTCCATTTAGGGGGATGCAGGTTTGAAATGATCTACTTATCTTCTTTAAATTGTTTCCCTCCAGGCTCAGACCCAGTCACAGCCCTCTGAACAGCTCTGCATTCCACACCTATTTGACGGGCACCCCGTAAAAACCACACTCCCTTGGGTCTGAGAATAGCTTCCCTCCACCTTCACCTAGTCAAGGTGTTCAGTTTAGGTCATCACAGTGTTTGATGCTGGGTATTGGGGAGCACCCCAGCAACACTCCTGCAGCCTAGGTTTGGAGAAAGGCCCCAATCTGACTAGAACATTTTCAGAGCTCACGGGAGGGTCACAAAATGCCAAAGCCCATTGGAAGGAGGAAAGGACTAAGATTAGCCCTCCAAGGACCAACCACCCCAAACTGGGAGAACAGAGGCAATGTGAGTGCTCGCCCCGTCTCTCCTGCTGCTGCCCTGCTGCTGTCCTGGGGGTGGGTTGTGGGGACGGGACACTGGACCAGGCATTGCAATGAAGATGGTGTCTGCATGCTCCATGTCCTGTAAAACTTTGCAAACTTGTCTCCCTTTAGCTCAGCGCACTCTGTGACATTGCCCATTCCTTGCTGCCTCCCACAAAGCTGGGTCAATAAAATCCTTGATGATTCTGTGAACCAGACCTATCTCTGTCCTGAATAACTCCAGACTTTCAAGGGGTCAGGGCTACTCCAAATGTGTGCCGGGGGATGATGTCCTGGTGGTGGCCCCAAATGCTCACACTTCTGCATATCCTTGTCCATTTAATCCTCTCCACATCCCTCATGCCAGGACAGAGGTCATTTTGGCCTCCAGAGTTGCAGAGGAGATACTGATGGGACCTGCTTCTCATCTCGCTGAGGTGTGTGGCAGGTAAGTGTGCCTGGGAGTCGGGGTTAAAGTTTAGGGGAGTGTTCAGCCTTCACACCTCTCTCTCACACATGGAACATGTTCTTTGCAGCTGCCAGAGAGAGGCGGGCGCCTGTTCTTGCAGAAGATGAGCCCAGGAGCTGAGGGGAGAGCATAGTCCCGAGTGGTACCTGATTCCAGACAGAAGCAGTACTCCAGGGGGCCCGGGGCGGCCGAGGCGTTGCAGAAGATGGCGAAGCTCGTCAGAACAGTGCCCTCGCCCGGGGCAGTGATGCAGGTAGGCACCTCGGGGGTAGACAGGGAGCTGATCACATAGGTGTCCTCTCCATAGGCGTGCCTGGTCACTGCTGGAGAGTGAAGGCAGCGTGCTTAGGGGGCTTGTGGGTCACACAGACTCCACCATGCCAAGGAGCTTGTCAGACGTGCGGATTCCCAGGCCCCTTTCCGGAGCCTCAGGCCTCTCTGGAGATCCTGGGGCAGGGCCCAGAAATCTACGTCTCTGACAGCCCCCACCCCCAAAACGTGGGGCCGCCCAGGGTCTCACTTTGAGAAACTGAGCAGAGATAGAATCCCAGCTCTGTCATCTACTAGCCATGTGACCTGGCCTCCACCTTTCTGAGAATCAATTCCTCATCTGTAAAATGGGGCTAATAATAATTGCTTCCTCACGGAGCTTGGTGAAGAGGGAGCATATTGGGAACCAATGCCTTGCTCAAGAGACCGAGCTAGGAAGGGCTACAGCCAGGATCTGGAAACAGGCAGATCCCACCCAAAACTATGGCCCCCCAGCACCATGGAGAGCCCCCAGCTAACCTGTACCTAAACCCCGTGCCACTTGCTATAATCACCTGGATTTTAAAAGAGTGCATGCTTGGAAGAGCTGAGCATAAAGATGATCACAATCAGTTAAAACAAATTCTTTGGCTGAGACTTAATTCAGGAGGTTTGGGATGAACCCAGGAGTGTGCATTTTAAACTAGTACCCCAGGTTGTCCTGGATGGGTAATCTATGGGCCACTTTGAGAAATACTGAATCAAAGGAATCTATTGATAAAGAACAGTCACCCCATTATTTTATCTTTTTGAGAGTCAGCATTTCCCACTGCTCTGGGCTCATTTTAAGTGAGAAGCCCTGAGTCATCCTGGCAGTGACCTGCTTTGTATCAATGGTGTTGTCTCATCCTCCCTGCATCATACAATTCAGAGGTGGGAGTTTTTCTTGTGCAGTTTGCACGTGGGGAAACTGAGGCATAGAGAGCTTGAATCCATTGCCTAAAGTCTCCCAGCTTGAAAGTGGCAGTGGTGGGATTCGCAGCAGAGCCTGTGTGTGGCTCCTACCCTGCACTGATGTCCCCTATTCAGCGCTTCTGGGTTCGTCTTGGTTCAGTCTCTGCAGGAGATGAGATGCTGACCAGAGATCAGAGGGAGCCTACCCACCTGTGACTCTGATTCGGGTGGCCTGGCTGTGGGTCCTCAGGAACGTGGTGTTCAGCAGCAGGGTGGAGGTGTTGCTCTGAAGGAGGCTTAGAGAACGCGGCCAGAATCCTCGGAGTCTGCAGGCCGCCGGGAGGGGCTCAGCCTGAAAAAGAGCACAGCCCAGGGCCCCTAAAGCCAGGCCACAGGACTCAGCAGAGTAGTGGCTTCTGACCCCCAGGAGGCCTTTCAGAGTTGTTTCTGATGGAGAGACAGCAGGCATTGCCTACTTCCCCAGGGTCAGACTAATTAACCCATCTCCAGCTTTGTTAAGGTGTTTGTCGTTGTCGGGTTCCCTGGAAGCAGAGCTTGGGACGAGGAGTTGACGCAGGTCATTTATGAGGGAGGGCTCCCGGGGAACACCAGGAGGGGACGGAGGGAAGCAGCATTGGGTAGAGAATGAAACGAGGCAAAGAAATGGTTTCAGGAGGCATCCAGCTTCATTTAGCCTGGTCCCACAGGGAGCTCTGGAGCATAAAATTGTCTCATTCAGAGGCAAAGGGGCTGGGCTGTTGGACTACACAGTTACTGGCCAGTGGCCACTGCATAGCAGCGAGGGGCTGGCACATCAGCCTGATAAGAGGTGTGGCTGGGGCACCGACAGCATCTGCTGCGGTGTTTCACCATTGTTTTTGCTACCTTGTGTCCATCCTCTCTTCTGACCAGTGCCCTGGTTCTCCTGTGGGGAATGCCCCCCAGCCCCCAACTCCCACTCCATGGGCTCTGAGTGGCATTGCCCCATCCCCAGCTCAGTCCCAGGCACGTGACACAGGTCTGGTAATCAGCGCGGGGAGATGTTTCTCTTTTTGAGTGGTTGCCAGTGTCCTCACCTTCTCCAGTGGGGTGTTGTCTAAGTACCAGCTGAACATGGCTGCTGCAGACTTGTCCCCCATGGTGACCTTCAGCATAACATCTCCACTGGCATTCACTGGCCTGCAGTTCTTCTCACAGCTGAAAGGGAGACAGATTACAGAGCAAGGAAGCTCCCTCAGTCACTATGGCCACCTGCTGGCCTTTTGTCTAGTTCTCAAGTCCTTTGAGAAGGTGGGAAATGGCCTTTTTTCAAGTGAGAGATGGAATAAAAGCAAACCCTGCCCCAAGCAAAACCAGGACGTAGCCATGGTCATGAAGATGGAGTGATTCATGCCTGCCTGAATTCCCATTTCATTCACTGCACAGGATAACAAAGTGGAAAGTGCACGAGGCTGAGACAGGACCCTGGGCCCAAATCCCATCCCTGCCACTTATGAATGGCCACCTTGTACAAGTCACGTAAACGCTCTGAGCCTCAATTTGCTCACCTGCAAAGTGAGGGGATAAGAGCAGTCAATTTCTGTAATTCTTTCTAATTCTAATAATAATAATGAATGAATGCTGTGATTTTACAGCATGCATGCCAGTTTGTAAGTGACTTCCCTTATTACTGGCTTATCTAATGCTCATCACAACCCTGTGAGAGTCCCCATGTCACAGACAAGCAAACCAAGCTTAGAGAGTTTATGTGATTTGTCCCAGTGACACAGCTCCTGAGTGGGGGATGGAACATGGGACAACACATCTTGATTTGAGTCCTGGGCCTTCTCTAGAATGTCACACCCTCCCTTGAGCCAATGAGAGGTTACTTTGGCTTCTGCTGTGTACCCAACCGATCCCCAGTCCTTTCAGTTTTAGCTTCATCATAGCTCTCGAATCTCCCTTCTTCTGTCTTCATGTCTACTCCAGTACAAGTGTGCCAGACATTCTCCATTTGCCCCTGAAGACTGTGTTCCATCTACTCCTCGTGGCTCTGTGTGCCAGGAGACTGATCTCCATAGACCATGTCACCCGGTCTCCCACACCCTCTGGCTTCTGATTGGGCCCAGTCAATGGGGAGCATTGAGAGGAGAGAGGTTGGGATAGTTAGTATTTTCCCTGCTCCTTACCAGATGGGCTGCAGTTAGCAGAGCTGTGATCCTCTGGCCAAGGCCACAGCTCCTGCTGGGGGCCGCTCTCTCATAGCTGCAGCTCCCAGGAGGTTCCAGTAACGCCACCCCCTCCTCCTCTTACCCCTGCAGTCCTAAGAGGGTTAATGGCCTCCTCCAGTTGTGGTCCTGCACTGTCATCCCTGGTTTGTCTCCTTATCGCTGCCCACAAGTGTAAATAGACCCTTTATCCAACTCTCATCAGTTCCCAGTTTGAGTGAGCCATCTGCTTCCTTCGGGGGCCCAGCTAATAGACCAAGCAACCTGGAACTCTCATCTTAATTCCTGCAGGAGCCCAAGCAGTCTCCCTGAGTCACCCTGCTCCAGCCACTTCCCCACCCTGCTACCAGAGCATTTTGAAGCAAAATTGTGATCACATTCCCAACCTGCTTAAGACTCTATCTAGAATTCTTAGGACAAAGACCCAAATCATGTGTTTGACATAACATCAAGGCCCTGCTGGAGCCAGGCCCTGCCTGCTCTCCCAGTTTCTCCCTGCCCCTCTCTCTTCCTCTGTGCTCACACCACACCAACCTCTTTCCCTTCTAGATGATTCTATGCTCCCTCCCTTTGCTGTTTTGTTCTCTCTCCAGCCCCTTTTTCCTGGCCCAGTTAATTCCTCTTCCACCTTCACATCTCTGCCGAGGGAAGATTTGACCACAAGTCAGGGAGGTTGTCATAGAGTTATGCTCTGTGCTTCCATCATGACCACCAGGAGGTTCCCTGGTGAAAACTGAGATTGGGTCTGGTTTTGCCCACCACTGTGTGCCCTGGCCCTAAGCCAGTGCCACTGGAGTTGGTGCTCAGCATGTGCTGACCAAATGGTAAGCCTGCAGGAGTCTGCTCCTGGGCCCCCACCTGACTCGTGGCTGCAGTTCCCGGGGGGCGGACACATAGAGGCACTGCTCCTGCAGGTTCTCCAGCTCCTGGCCTCTCCAGACTGCCAGGCGCAGGGTAACGGCAGAGTCAGGTGGTGGCAGGCAGGACGGTGGAACCACCAGCTCCCGCTGGTCTGTGCGGAGCAGCTGCCTCTCAACACAGTCGCTCCACTGAGCCCAGCATCGCCCTGAGAAAGAGGGGTGGGCAAACACTGTTATTCATTCAGGAACCCTGAACTCAACATATGTGCCTACCTTCTGGTTTGGGGCTTTTAGAAGAAATGAATCATGGATAAGAAAATTGGTTCCAAATAGAGATTTTGATTTTATTTTCAAAATTCACTTTGAGGTTGCTACAGGGGGATGTTTCTGGGAAAGTGACCCCTGCTTCACCCAGAACCTTGCACCCAGACACTTGCATTTGGTGATCAGGCCAGCATATAGCAGGAGAGGCATCAGGGGGACACAGAGTGCCGCCTGGGAGAACATCCAAGGCAGCTTCTTGTCCCTGGTGTAGGTGATTGTCCCAGCTGTTTGTCTTTGCGGGGTACGCTGGGGACCTGGGAGGCTGCATGTCATCTCCTGCTTTATACCAACTCAGTAAGTTTCTCTATCCTTTGCCCTTCAATTCTGTTGATTAATGTTTAACCACTATCCTAGCTACCCCCAATATGTAGTCATTCAACCTACAGGTCAGGTGATCAGCTCAGTCACCTAAACTCTACACTGTATCCTCTATTAATTCAGATAACAAGAACTGATATGCAGAAGGATGTCCTGAGCACTTACCAATTAGTATCGAAAGCCTTCAAATGTTACATGACTTTTGACCAAGTTATTCCACTACTAGGAATTTGTTTATGAAAGTAACCACAGATGCAAATAAAGATTGAACCCTAAGGATGTCCATTATAGCATTGTTTTAAGGGCAAATAATTTGAAACAACTTCAATGCCCAAAAAGAGAGCACTGGTAAATGAATGACCGTACATCAACTTGGCAGTCTATTACGCAGTTATTATGAAAACCAAGATGGAGAAGATACCAAAACATGACAATATGCCAGATATTTTAAAAAGGGGTAACAAAAGCACTATGTACAATGTGAATGGCATTCATTTTTTTCTAAGTGTGTGTGCATGGCTATGGTGTATCCCTATAAAAAGGAGGACAACTGTTTCTTAAAAATAAGTGGTAGTACTACCGCCTTGGTTTGTCAGAAAATGTCTCATCACTTCCTCTTCTAAACTATCTTCCCAGTGGCATACCAAGGGTATGGAGGTGAAAGAAAGGGTCCATCCAAGAGGGAGGAGCATTTTATCACTGATACTGTTTGTGATGAAAAAAAAAAAGCAGACCGATTTTATTTGTGCTTTTAGATTTTGCTCTTTCTTTTTTTTAAAATTATAGTTGATTTACAATGTGTCAGATGTACAGCAAACTGATTCAGTTATATATGTATATATATATATATATATATATATATATCCTTTTTCAGATTCTTTCCACTATAGGCTATTACAACATATTGAATGTAGTTCCCTGTGCTATACAATAGGTCTTTGTTCTTTATCTGTTTTATATATAGTAGTGTGTATCTGTTAATCCCAAATTTCTAATTTATCCCTTCTCCATCTTTCCCCTTTGGTAACCATAAGTTTGTTTTCTATGTCTGTGAATGTATTTCTGTTTTATAAGTAAGCTCATATGCATCATTTTTTAAAATTCCATATAAAGTGATATCATATGTTATTTGTTTTTCTCTGTCTGCTTTACTTAGTATGATAATCTCTAGGTCCATCCATGTTGCCGCAAATGGCATTATTTCATTCTTTTTTATGGCTGGGTAATATTCCATTGTATATATACAGCACATCTTCTTCATCCAGTCATCTGTTGATGGACATTTAGGTTGTTTCCATGACAGAATGACTTTTAAGGTTCAATTATTGTTCCTGAATTCTCTATGATAATATCTCTACTGGTTGCCTGCCTTCAGGGTCACTCCCACCTTGGTTTGCCACTGCTTCCCCTCCATTTTTGTGGAATTCACAATCTCTGGCACATACAAGGTACACAAGATGTCAGGCATGAGTAATGCTGATGTGAAGGTAAGAAAAAGAACAGCAAAAGCTGACTGCTATCCATCACTTCATAGTGAGATAGGACAGTTCCACAGCTCTAAGTCCACCTACCGCATGACCACTGGAAGTGTAAGTCCTTGTCCCTGTCCGGCCAGCCCAGAGTCACTGTCATGAAAGGATCCAAGTATCGACCAGGTTCCACATACACCTCCACATCTCCTTTCTCTTTCTGCAGAAGAAGCAGCTGGCTGATGAAACATCTTTTGCAAGTGGTGCCCCCTGCTTCCACCCCAGAGCAATCTGTGCCAGGGGTGGCCAAGTGTAAGGTGTGGAATGAAGACAGACCCTTCTTATCCCCCTGCGCGTCAGGGGATGGATCACTGGGTAAGTGCGGGCTCAGGGCTAAGGGTTCACCATACATTGAACTGCGTTAACAGAGGCTACTCTCAGCTTGATGCCTAGAGATACAGGATTAGAGCCCCAGCCCCTGCCTTTATGTCTCGTTAGGCAGGCAGACAAGGAAACCAGTCTCTGCTGCAGTAAAGGATGACCCAGGGCATCATGAGGGAGGCAGTAAGTTAAGACTGTCTGTTCCCCCGAGGGTCTGATGTGGATTAAATGAGAAGAATTAGTGACGTGCTTCCTCTTGTGTCTGGAGCAGAGGTGGGCACAGAGCTGTTACCTCTCCACAGCAGACAGCTGGTGTCAGGGCAAGCTTCCCAGAGGACAGGACCCCAGAGCATCAGGAAGGAGGAGGAGTGAGTTTGAGCTGGGCAACAACAGAGATCATGTGGATTCTAGGAAGGGGTTGCTGGGCATGTGGTGTGCTCTGGCCCAGAGGGCTTGGCCTGGAATAGCAGGAGGCTATGGCAGAACTCAACCCCAGGGGTCTCCCTGGCCTGAGAATAAAACCCACACCGCTATACCTTGGTACCTAGGACCCTATATGATTTGGCCTCTGTCCATCTCTGTAATCTCCTATATACTCCTCTTCCGCAATGAATGGTCTCAGGGCCTTCTCATCTGTGCATCCAGAAAGCTCTCGTTCTGCTTCACAGGATGGCTGACTGTCCTGTCTTCAGGTCTCCACTCACATGTCATCTCTCAAGAGGTCATGTCTGATCACATTTTCTAGTCCACCCTCTGTTACTGTACCCTATTGGTTCTAGTTAGACACATAACAATTCTTAATTATATGCTAATTTGTTAGTCAGTCTCAACTGCTAAGCTTCGCGAAGGCAGTGACCACATCTGTTTATTCACCATTGTATTCTCAGTCCCTAATACCAATCCTTGAACATTGTAGACACACAGTAAGTCTTTGTTAACAAACAAATGTGTGCATGAGCAATGTCAACAGTAAGAAATTGAAGACTTCCTATAAAAACTAAAGAACCTTGGGCCTTCTTTCCAATATAAATATTGAAAGCCATAAATTTCCCTCTGAGCACTACCTTAGCTGCATCCCATAAATTTGAATAGGCTGTATCATCATTAACACTTACAAATATTTTTAAATATCTTTGTGATTTTTTTTCTTTGGCCCATTGATCTTTTTAAAATAAGTGTGCTGTTTAATTTCCAAGATGTCTAAGAGATATCTACGTATCCTAGATAACTTATTATTGACTTATAACATAATGCTGCTGTGGTTAGAGAGCATGCTTTGTTTGAGTTCAGTCCTTCTGGGTTTATTTTTAAACAGAAGAAACCTTGGTGCTTTCTAGTGCTCTGACTATTAACACCCAAAAGCCCAAACCCCAAACTAAAACAGAGTGCTCAGACATCTTTTTCTTGTGAGGTTAATTGTTTAAAAAAAAATACTCACATTCTTTTCTTCAGCCTTCATTCCAGATGGTTCTTGGAGACTGGGAGGAGCTGTGAACACATTGGGGATGGGTGTCAAATGTCGGTGATATTTAAGAGGTTGCCAAAGGGCAAAGGCAGAGGGTTTGCTGAGGATGCCCTAAGAGTATCCACTTGTCTTTGGAAATGATTTAGAGACACACGGTGAACATTCAGGTCATAGGAAGTGCGTCAAAAGCAAAACCATCATGCTCACCACTGGGTTCAAGACACCTCTTTGGCAGGTTAGAAAGAGGCAGGCAGCTGCCAATGCAGATAGAACATAAGACTGAGAGTCAGACATGCAGCTGTTCGCCATCAGTGACTACCTACAGTTGAGGGGTGAGGCTGGGGAACCCTGGTTTGTAGTGTTTGCTAATTTCTGGGGTGCATATGTTCTCACTGAGGCAGATTTCAAGACACCAAATTGACCTCACTGAATTCAGCATTGGAAGAGTGGGCACAACCAGCTCTGGCAGGCTGGGAGGAGCCAGCCTCAGCTCACCACGGGGTGTTTCTGGACCCTTTCATTGGCTCTTACTGGCCGTGAGAACCTAGGCAGGTTTGTTACTCTTTCTGAGTCTTAGGTTCCTCATCTATGAAGAAGGCTGAAGGCAATCCCTATTTCTCAAGGCTCCAGGAGGACTGAATGCTGTGCTATGTATATTATTGCTTTGTAATCTATTCATCTACGAAGAATGTTAGTGTGTCAAGTTAAAAAAATGGAAAAGGTATTCTCAACTGATACATTCTAAAGATATTGGAATATGAAGATAGTTACTCTCTGAAGTGTAGTGATTAAGCTAAGAATCGAGGGTTATTCCATGTGATTCACTAGGCCCTGGTGACGTGGGTATTTTAAGATCAGGGTACTACTGATCTTTAAAAAGTTTTCTCCCAGTGAATTCTCATTCTCATGACTCTAAAGATCTGTAAAGTTATTCAAAGCAAAGCTAAACTGCTAGACACAGAGACCTTTCTTAACCTTAAGAAGGAAGATGGTCCATGAATGAAGAAATCAAGAGAAATAGTTGCTACCCCTGATCCTGCCATGAAGTAGCTGAATGATTTTTGCAAAGTCAGATAACCTCTCTGGACCTCAAACCCCTTACGTGGAAAAGGAGGGCTGTAGACAGCGGAATGGACATCTCATGTTTTTTACCCCTGATCTAGGCATCCATGGACCCTTCTTTTGATAACAACACCTATAGGTGATATTTTTCCCTCCCATACCTCCCCACTCTCAGTCCTTTGGGTGAATCTGATCCTACATCATGTTCCAGGGTTGACACGTGCTCCTGATCTGTGAGTACCACTTCCCCTGGTCTCAGCAGCAGGTCCAGGAGGGACCATGAACAAAGCTTGGACCAGTGATTGGTAGCCTCAGGATTTCTGCTGGAAATATCAACAAAGAGGTGCTCTTTCTCCTCTGGGGTTAAGAACCAAACCCTGGGGCTGTCTTGTTACTGCTTGGGAAGAGGGAATCAGACTGAAGCCAACACAGAACCAAGAAATAAAGGCAGTTCTGAAGACACTGAGTGGCTGGATCCACCTGTGCCTAAACCCTGGACTTACATTTTCCGAGTTGATAAAATTTCCTTTTGACTTGAGTTAGGCTGAATTGCTCTTCTGTCCCTTGGTATGCAGAGTGCTGGCAAACACATTTAAGGCATACTTTAAGACAGTGACATCTACTGTTGGCTGTCTACCAATAGCCAATACCCTGCCTTTGGCTGTCAGAATCCACTTTCTCCCACAGAGCCTGAAAATGCTAGATACCTGCTTCCCAGCATCTCTTACAGCTAGGCACATGACCCTATCGTGGCCAATGGTATCTGAAAGGAAGATTGCTGGAGATTAGTGGGAAAGATGTTTTCCCTAAAGAAAAAGACACACACAGGGGAAAATGAATTCTTCTGCTGCTGAATAATGCTGTGTTGACATGTGATGTCTGGAATGGCAGCAGCCATTTGATTGCATGAGACAGAAGCCTGAGGACAAAGCAAAAGCTCTGAGGATGGCGAAGCAGAATGACAGACTGAGCCTGGGTCCTTGTTGGTGACACTGAGCCATTGAACCCTGGAACTACTTACCTTCTAACTTTAGTATGTGAGATAATAAGACTAGAAGATAAAGCCACTCATGTCAGTTTTCTGTTACTTACAGCCTAAAGCTTCCTAACTAATACAGACTTGGATGTTTTAGAATTTTGTATCAATGGTTGGATGTTTTACTGCTTACATTATTGCCTTTTGGAGTAACCAGAGAATTCTTAATATCTATAGAACAAGATGAACATTCAGAGCCCTGTTCTGAGGAGCCCCTAACTGGATCCTGAGCAAGTGCAATACCCTAAACTCCTGGTCACAAGTTTTATATCCCCTTGCAGAAACTGCTTGCCTGTGACAGTGATGCTTCCGATATCCAAACTCAAGTTTGAGAAGGCATTCCTCACCAGCACGGTGACTAGAAAGGTGCCTGCAATGCAGAGAGAGGAGAATTATGGGCATTGTAATAACTTGCACCAAGACAGTTCTCCCAGCCTGTGCTTCTCCAGGCCACTGAGGGTAGCATCTGACTCTTTCATCATTGAAGCATTTAACCAATCCCTTTAGTATGGCAGGCATGGTGCAAGGCTCTGGAGACACAGAGATGAATGAAACATGGTCCTTGTCCTCAGGGTTGTATGGTCTAGTGGGCATGTAGGACACTCCAGGGTAGGAATGGGCATGAGGGGCAGGGTGGGCATGGGGTGGGTGTTGCTTCCACCTTGGAGGAGAAAGAAACGGTTTATGGGATGAGGCAGAGGCTGGGGCTGAAGTTCAAAGGACAAGTAGGAGATTCCATCAGAGAGAAGACATGACAGGGTTTTTAAAGGTTCGAGAAAGTGGAGAGGGGAGAGAAGGGTTTGTAAGAGAATTTGGAGAGAGCTGCCACTACGTGGGTATCCCACAACCCGCCCCTCATAGGAAAGGGTGGTGGGTGCTACCTTCTCTTCTCAAGTCTGGAGAGAATGTCTTCAGAGAGGGCCCTTGAACAGCTGGGTATGTGTGTTTGTGGCTGGGCACCCCCAAGACAATTTCTGTACTCATACGCTTGCAGAAACAGTCTATGACGGGAAGGGGAGAGAGGCAAGGGCAGCATTTCTGCATTTGGGAAATAATTGCAGTCGTCTGGCAGCAGTCCAGGACTGGGTGAGAACTTTCTATGGGCCAGATGTTTGCCTCGGAGAGAGTGGTGCCGGAGAGGGTAAAGAGAATAAGGAGAACAGAGGGAGGGATCCTGCTGGTGACAGGAGAAGCATCAGCGGGGCGAACATAGCCCGGAAGGAGAGGCATCACTCCCACCCAGGAGCTGTGGTCCGAGGAGCCCAGCAGGGGGCCTCCTACAAGAGGCGGCTGCACACATCTGCTGGGCCAGCACCACCTAGCGGGAGCCTTCCTGTCCTACCCCATTCCCTTCCCTTCCTCCTCGCCCTCTTCATCCCTGGAGGCATCCACTGTTTTTCTCGTGGGGAGGAGAGGACTGCGTATCATCTAAGAGTGAGCCAAAAAGTCACAGGGCGTATGGAGATTTTATGTCTTATCCTCTGCTGAGTCACTTTTACAGGAGACAAAAATTAATTTGTATTTGAACTATAGCCTGTGTATTGTGAATATTTTCCATTGTCATTCCATTTCATTTCTGGATTCTTCTTGTTCCAAACTGGACCCTTGGTACCTGGCAAAACTGCAGTGTTTTTCTTCTTGCATCTATCATTCCTTCTGCTATCTCTTTTGCCAGATCCCTTGCTGAGGCCCTGGTGGCCTCACACCTGCAAGCGTTACTCCATTTCATACACACGTCTGAGGTCCAGGGCAGAGGACCCGGGTGGGCTGGAGACTGCAACCTTCACCACATTCCTGCCTGCTGACCTCACCACACTGCCCTCAAAGACGCTCTGTTCTCTCCAGATTAAATGCACGTCGGCTGTGGCCTTCTGCCCTGGCTGGTGCCAGCCAGTCTGTCACCTCATCGCTGTGCCAGGCAGCATCCTGACACTTCCTCTCTTGTCCCTCTCTCTCCCATCTTTCAGTTTTTATATATCTCTCCCCACAGGGTGTGGACTATAGTTTCCCAAAACACACTCCCCTCTGGAAGTCATGGAAGGAATCCAAGTAAGTACTCTTGCTCTCCTCCGTGGTTCTCAGTGGGGCTGATTTTGCTTCCCACAGTGCAGTTGGCAATGTCGGGAGACAGATGTGGTGGTCGCGACTTGGGAGGCTAGTGCTACGGGCATCTAGTGGGTAGAGGCTAGGGATGCTGCTCAACACCCTACAGTGAACAGGCCGGCCCCACAACAAAGAATTATCTGGTCCCAAATGTCAGCAGTGCCAAAGCTGAGAATCCCTATGACTTTAAGCTCCACAAGTGCAGATAATATCTGCCTCTTTCTTATTTGTGACCCAGGCTGGATGCTGTGAACCGTTTGTGTCCAGGACATCCTGAAAAAATAGCTGGCAGGACCCTTGATACCAAGTCAGGAAGGAAAGAGGAAGGAGGTTTGGAAGGGGAGCCACCAACCCCAGGTACCTTCGAGAGGAACTGCCACGTGGTAAGTCCCAAATGGCCCCCTGAGGCTCTCTTCCTCATAGGAGAAGGTTGCATTGAGTCCTGCCACCTCAAAAGTCAGCCCCTCTGGGATGCCATGAGCCACCGAGACATTGACCAATAGGTTCTGTCCAAGTTCCAAGTGGTCAGAAGCCCAGGAGGCCTGCAGCCCCGACAGAGGCTCCACCAAGTGGACGGTGATGTTTCTGGAGGGGGCAGAGGTGGTGGTGGTGCTTGTGGCTTGGATCTCCAGGTGGTGCATCCCTGGGCCCATCTGTTGCTGGACTGCTCTGTCCAGGGTCAGATTGTGTGGAAGTGGGCCCCTCTGGGTGGTGGACTCAGCCAGGGATGTGTTACCTGACAGCACAGTGTACGTCACCCCTGTTCCTAGGTGGAGTAAGAAATATTTAAGAATGTCAGTAGCAACCATGCACACATACATCACAGTATAGTAGTTCAGACTCAAGCTGTAAAGTCAGATTCCACAAATAGACATACGTAAGGATATACCCTCCCTACCCAAATATTAACACTGATTATCTTTGAGTTTTAGGTTCATGAGTGATTTTTCTTTTAGGGTCTTCTCTGCTCCTCTTCATATTCTAATTATTTATACTATGCATGTATTATCCGTACACTTAAAAGTTTATAATAAAAAAAATCAGAACATTTTGGTGACTAGGATACTATTGAGGGGAGGAGGGCTGAAAAGGGAACATCTCTGAAGGGTGCAGCTGATTTTAAAACATGAGAATTAGTCTTAAGTCTTGTTTTAAGCAGAAGCAGTGAAGCCCTTTCCATCTCCACGACTGATTGCCTGAAACCCTGCCCAATGGGAGGACTCAGCCTGTTCACAATAAGAGGGGGCTCCTTTATAGTCTGGGGCTGGATGATAAATATTGCAGTTGACTTTTAAAATATGATTTAAACCACTAAATTAAGACTCTTTCCAATAGAAAACAAGCTAGTGTATTTCTTGTTTGAGTGACAGTGGTGATGATGACATCATGGTGATGATGAGAATGATGAGAATGAAGTAACCCCTCTGAGAACAGGAATCCTGACTTTCATGTTTATTGCTGCCTCCCGCTACCTCCCCGTACTTGGCAAAGAGTAGTCACTTACTTATATTTGCAGCCTGAAAAAGGATTATCTTAAGTTTTCCCAGGTGCACCTAGCAGCCATCTTCAGCACACCAAAACAGAAAGGAGCCTCAAGCATTGTGTTTAAAGCCCCAATATAGCTCCGTTAAGTTACTGTTCTGATTGAGGCTCCAGGTGGTGTGAGGCTGGACTGAGTCATGTCCTCACCTCCACAGCTCAGTTTATACCGACAGGCCTCTGTCCAGGTCTCAACCTGGACCTGTGCCTTGTGGAAAGATGCTGCCTTGGGTGAGGGTGGATTTTAGTTGGGCGCATCTCCATTGAGAAAAGGGGTAATAATCAAAATATTTAACAGCTGAAACTACACAGATACCAACTGAGTAAAATGATGCTCTGATAAATCAGAATGGACACTGTGACCAATTTGAGTGGATGCTGTGATCAATTAGAATGGACATTGTGACCAATGAGAAATATTGTTATGACCAATCAGAATGGACATGAGGACCAATCAGAATAGCCTCTATGACCAATCAGAAAAGACACTGTGAGCAATCAGAAGGAATACCAGCCATAACTGGCTGGACCACTGTGTGCAGCTGGATATCAGCCCTGACTGGGGGCAATGTGACTGTGCCCAGCTGGTGGCACTTGCACTCGTACCCACATGCCCCCAGCAGAGAGTGACTTGGAAGTCCTTTTCTTATGATGAGACCACAGGCATGCACAGAATGGTCTTTGGAAGGCTAGGATCTCTCACTAGCTTATGAGCCTTGTGACTTTGGCCAAATTTCTAAGCATTTCTTCCATTTCTTCCTCTGTAAAATGTATTGGATGGGCCGGTGCATATAGAGCACTTAAACCAGTTCCTGGTATACTCTAAGTGCTAAATAAATGAATGACTAAAGAACTAACTCCATAAGTGATTGCTGTTAGTATTTATTAAAGCCTGGGAGCTGGATGGACAGATTTGGGGTAATCAAATTTCCCTTGACTTTGACTGTTCCTGCATACTCACCTCTATCAAGCTCCACCTGAATCCACAGAGGGTCCCCAAAGACTGCCCGGCAGATAGGGCTGGCTCCAGACTTGGACAGGCCAGAGCACCCAGTCACACGGAGCCCCTCCATCTCCTCTCGCATTGTCACTTGCTTCTGAGCCGTCACGTGCCACTCGCTGGTTGTACACTCGGCAAACACGGTGAACTCCCCGGGGGCTGTGAATTGGTGGACCACGTTGCTGGATAAACTGCCAACAACAATCAGAAACGTTATCCGTATTGGGACATACAAACACACGCCCTCACCCACCGCACATTTCCTGTTCTCTGTAAAGATAAAAAGAGCAAAGAAAAAGATGCTACACGACCAAGCCAGGCTCTTGGTGTTCATGGAGGTAACACTGAGATGTCTTGGAGCAGGTGAGAAGTGGAAGAAACAGCACTGACTAACCAGGGAGTCAAATATTTGTCTGCAAGTCCGTTTTCTGCCGTTGACTCCCCCTGTGGCTCACATCCACCCACTCTCTGGGCCTTCTTTCTTCATCTTTAAAAAAACTATGGCCCAGCCTACCTTTCTGAGACTTGTTTTCCCCACCTGTAAAATGGGATCAGAGTTCAAACATATCAGAAATTATGGGTATATTTTGCTCCTCATTTTCCTGAGGGGACTAATCTCAAATCTCTAGCATGGCACCCAGAGCTCCACATGACCTCCCCTCCTGTCCTCCCCCTCCCCTCCTGCCCCTTCCCTTCTCTGACTATCCTGCTTATGCAGGCCTCTTTCCAGGTCCTAGAACATGCCACCTCTTGCCTACCCCAAGGCCAGGAAGTGTGCTGCCCCGTGCTGGGAAGGCTTTTGCCCATCTCTTTACTCATACTCTGTTCTTTCTTCAGTTCTCAGCTTAAGTATCACCTCCTCAGGGAAGTCTTCTTAGATTCCCTGTATAACTGCTGTAACTTCACTGCTTCTCCTGGGTGACACTCATCCCTTTTTATGCTCGTTTTTTCACTGTCAGTCTTCCCTGTGAGGCTGTCAGCACAGACAGTGTCTGTCTAGTTCTCCCTTATATACCTGGCACCTAGCACAGTGAGTGCTTGAGAAATAGTTTACAAATGGACACAGTTGTAGAAAAGCTTAGAGAAGAGTAACCTGATTTGTGGTGCCGGCCAAGATGGAGTTAGCCCACTACAGTCTATTGCTTCCATTAATTACAACAAAATACCTGGACCAAATACAAAAGGAAGCTACCTAAAGACTCCGAAAAATAAACAGCGGGCAGATTGGGGAGGAAAGGCAAAATTTAAGAATCATCCATAAAGATGGGAATTTCCTGTTTTCTTTCTGTTTTTTTGAAAAAAAAAATCTCCTTCGTCTCTTGACTTTGTCCCAAGGGTAGCCTGAGTCATGTTACTGCGCAGTGAGTGATGAAGACAAAAACCCCAAGAGAGATCCCCTCTGTTTAGCCAGGGAACCAGAAAAAGGGACCCAGTGAGTCTGAGAATGTAGAGCAAATATCTGTTTTTGTTTTGTGTTGTTTCTCTTTTTTCTCTCCTCTATCTACCCTAGGCTATCCTCTCTCTTGGAGCTGCACTGACCATGTGGGGTGCAGACACCCTAAGAGAAAATCCTAAGAGAAAACCCATTTTTCTTTCTAGAGGAACCATGAAAAGGGGTCTATGAGAGCTGGAGATTGTGGGGAAAGTGCTAAAAAGGAGAGAGGTAGAGGATAGGATCCCCTGATTCTGTGCATGACCCAGCATGAATCATGAGCTCACCCAGAAACTACACATGAGCAGAACAGACCCAAAGAAACAGAGCAAAGTCCCCGTGAACATAAAATAGCCCCCAGAGTGGCACGTGAGTGGGACAGACCCTGACAGCCTGGGCACTTAACTAGCACGGAAACCACTGCTTACAGAAGGCAAGTGAGAACATGTAGTCTGAACCTAAATGAGCTGGTTGGTTGGTTGCTAAAATAAAACAAATAAAAATCAACATTTTCCAGAGGATTTTTTAAATGACCCAGAGTCTCAGACCATCCTACCCCAAATGTCCAGAATACAATCCATAATTGCCTGATACACAAAGAGCTAAGAGACTGTGACCAAATTTCAAGAGAAAATATAATCAATAGATGTCAGCCCTGAGATGACTTAGATGTTGAAATTATCAAAGACTTTATAACGATTATAAAGCAATTATAACCATGCTCCATGAAGCAAAAGGAAACCTTCTCAAATGAATGGAAAGATAGACATTTTCAGCAGAGAAATAGAAACTATTAAAGAAGAACCCAATGGAAATTTTAGAAATGAAAAAACACAATCTCCAAAATAAAAGATTCATTGGATGGATGCAATAACAGAATAGAGATGGCAGAGGAAAAAGCCAGTGAACTTGAAGATAGAGCAAAAGAAATGATCCAATCTGAAGAACACAGAGAGAAAAATACTAAAATTTTTTTAATGAGCGGAATGTCAGCAATCTGTTTAACAATATCTACAGGTAAAATATTTGTGTTATTGGAGCACCAGAGATAAAAAGATATTGCTGTAGAAAAATATATTTGAAGAAATAATGGCTGAAAACTTTCCAGATTTGGCAAAACCACATGAATTTAAAGATTCAAGAAGCTCCATGAAACCCCAAATGAAAAAAAAAATCTTAAAACCATGTCCACACATAAACTACTGAAAATCAAAGATTAAAAAAAAATCTTGATATCAGCCTGTAAAAAATGACACATTACGTATGGAGAAAACAGTGATTGAATGACTGCAGATTTCTTTGGAAACCATGGAGGTATAGAAGATAGAGAATGACATCTTTGAAGTGTTGAAAGAAAAGGGCTGTCAACACATAACTCTACAGCCAGGAAAAATATCTTCCAGGAATTAAAGCAACGTAAAGACATTCTCAGGAATGAGGAAATCTCTAAGAGACTTTGTTGCTAGTAAATCTACTTTGAAAGAAATACTGAAGGAAGTTTTTCCAGCTGCAGGGAAATGATATAGAGGGAAACTCAGAACTTCAGGAAGGAAGGGAAAGCACAAGAAAAGGTAACTATCTTGGTAAATGTAGACTATCTTTCTCAAGTTCTTTAATATAGGTAGGACTGCTGAAAGGGCCTTTTCAGTGTATATAAATGTCCTACAATTGACAATTATAAAAGATGGCAGGCAAAGGAAACTATATGGTAGTAAAGCCTCAACATTTTACCTAAAGTAGCAAAATATTAACTTTAAATAGACTGAAAAGTTAGACAGGTATCTTGTAATCCCCAAAGCAACTACTTAAAAAGTAATACAAAAAGATCACCCAAAAAGCCAATAGATAAGCTAAAATGGAATGCTGAAAATATTCAATTAATCCAAAAGAAGGCAAGAAAGGAGAGGAACGGGATAAAATAAACAGAGGATGCAAACAGAAAACAACAAAATTGTAGACCTGAATCTAATTATTTTGATCAGTATATTAATCATAAATAGTCTAAACACACTGATTATTGTGCCAGATGGGATTTTAAAAAACCAAGACTCAGCCATATGCTGTCTACAGATAGGTTCAAAGTAAAAGGATGAAAGAAAAATGTAACATCAAGCGCCAATCAAAAGAATGCTGGAGTGGCCATTAGCTATGTCAAGCAACATAGATTTCAGAACAAGAAAACTCACTCTTTATAGAAATACAAAAGATGGTTTTGAATCCAGCTTGTTTTTCAGTGATCTGTCTGGAAGAAGCGATTTATTCATTCTCTAAATGCTGATGCCAACTGAAATTGCCTAGGACTAAAAAGTAAAGAAATTGATTTTTCCTGATTTCTCTCCCAGGGATCTCCCCAAGGGAGAAGAATGCGAAGTAGTTTTAGTAACTGCTGCCAACAAAGAAAAGCTATGCTCAGAGTACAAAGCCATGGAGACAACAAATTAAAAAATTGTTTTATGGTCCTATGATCCAGTGATTCCACTCCTGGGTATAAACCCACCAGAAATGTGTACATATGCGTACGAAAAGACATGGACTAGAATGTTCACAGCTGCACAATTTTGTTAGTCCAAATGGGAAACCACCCCAATGCGTATCAACACTAGGATGGATAAGTAACTGAGGAATATTTATACAACAGAATGTATAGCAGTGAGAAAAAAGAAATCCAATTGTACACAGCAATATAGATAAATCTCAAAAACATACTTATTGAGCAGAAGTAAGACACAAGAGAAAATATACTTTATGATTCTATTTATATAATGTTCGAACACAGGTCATAGTAATCGATGATGTTAGAAATCAGTATCCTTGGAGGGGCCTGTGGGGGATTTCTGGGGGATGGGTCATGTTTTGTTTCTTGATCTGGATGCTGGTTACATGGGTATATTTTTATTTTGTAAAAATTAATTGAGCTTTATCTTTTTGTGTACTTTTCTGTACATAACTTATGCCTCAATAAAAAGTTCAAAAATTAGTTCAAGACTCTGTCACTTACCGACTTGTATACACTGCTTTTATATTTGATATGAATAGGATACAACTTAGTGGGAAGGGAAGGTCCCCCTCCAGACTCAGCTGTGTCCAGCGGTGACACAATAAAGACCCAAGAACGATGGCAATCCCAGGATCTGTCAGTAGATGGCGCTGATGTACCCAACGCTGGACTTGGACTGATTTCACCTTATGCAAATTGTTCCTTAAGGCACGTAATAAAATTTCAGAAATGTAGAAAATTTCTCATGACAAACAAAGAAGCAAAACAGCTTGCTATGCAAAACAATACAAGACATGGAGAGCGCAAGGTGAGATGGAGCTTCTAAAGGAGAAATCGTTTGACTTAACGCTGCTTCTATTAGAGGTCAGATTCTATCTGTTAGCTCATGTCATTTATCTAGGATGCAGATGGAGGGTCTGATTTGAAAATGTCCACCTCTTGGCCTATTGAGGAGTTAAGCAAAAGCAGAAGTCTGCACAAACACATTTTTATTTTTATTTTTATTTTTTTTTCCAAATTATACTAATTCTTTATTAAATCAAAGAGCACTTCTTTATGAAGGTTGAGATTTTTCTTTTCAGCATTTCACAGTGACAAACACATTTTTAAAAGCATAGTGATGTTCACACACAGTTTGTGACTTCTGTGTGCTTAAAATTCATGCCATTATTCATATTGTAAATTGAGTGCTCAGGCTGCCAGTGCTGATAAGAAAGCATCAGAAATATATCTCCCAGTGTTAATAAAAATGATAGAAGAAGGTGAGTGGGTAGTTTCCAGGTCAAAAAAATCTTTGAAGTAGACAAAAGTGGATGCTTTAGGTGGGGTGATGATGGAGGGTGTCATCATGTATTTATTTTGAAAGAGAGGGGGAGAAATGCCAGTAGCTTTCAATTACACTGAATACCCAAAGGGATTGCAAATGTAAAGCATTGCTTACTGCTGTTTCTCTTAGATTATGAAAAAGTTAATCACACAGAGAATTCCAGAGAGTAATATGATAAACACCTTTGAACTCTGCATCTAGAGTGGACAAGTATTTGCATTTTGTCCCATTTGCTCCAGTTTTTAACTGTGTTTGCTTATTACTGGAATGTCCTTGTGTAACTAAAGAACTTAGCAGTGCTACAGTCAGTTTTGAATTATGCCAAAGGCAAATTGTATGAAATTTGGGGCCTGAAAGATAGTGTAACTTGGTATTTCTCATTTTGTTAAAATGGTAGCAAATGGGGAGAAACCCACAGAACATGCTATGGGTATTTATATCACTTAAACTTTTCTTTTTCCCCAAAGCATCTTCATATATAATTTCTTACTTCACTACATGAAACAATGAAGATCACCATCAATATAAATGTGATAGGGAATGAAATGGGTTTCCACAATGCTGGAGACCCAGGGGACTGCTGAGTTTGAGACATCATTCACTGGATAAGGTTGAGCTGTGGACAGCCCTGGTCCTCTGCCCCACCCCACCCAGGGTTTCCAGGAATGCCAGGCATCCACAGGGCTGGATTCAGAACCTTTAGCCTCCAGTAGAACTGGATATGTTTTGGGGTTAGGTGAGGGGCTTACAGACCTCCATGACTTTCCTGGAGATCCATGTTGAACTCGGTCTTCCGTAAGGAGTCAGAACCCAGTGAGGGTCTGGAACCATTTGGGGCACCCCTCCAGCCGGGGCACCCAGCAGAGCAGGAAGGAGCTGACCCCAACCCCAGGTAGGACTTTGAAATGTTGTGAATTGTGTTCAGCTGTCATCAGGTTGGGGCATCCCTGGAGGATGCAGTGTACAATGCCCTCAGGCCCCGATGCTACATGCTGTGTTCTTCACCGGGGCCTGAGAGTCTAGCTTGGATTCCAGGCAGTCCCGACTTGCCTGGCTGTGCTGCCACTCACTAGCCGCGTGGCTTGGGCAATGACACGGGACCTCTCTAAGCCTCAACAGCTTTGTCTGTAAAACAGGATGATCACAGTCTAGCTCAGAACCAACGGACAGAAACAGTACAAGCCATATATGTAACTGTAAAGTTCTAATGGGCACACTGAGAAATGTGAGCAGGAATGGGTGAAATTAATTTTAATCATTTATTTCCTTAAACCCAATAGATCCAAAATACTATCATTTCAATGTGTGATTAATACCAAAAAATCATTTAGTAAGATATTTTACATTTTTTGGTGGGGAGGAGGCTAAGTCATCAACATCCTATGTGGATTTACATTTATAGCACATCTCAGTTGAGAGCAGATACATCCCAAGTACCCAGGAATGCATATGGTGAGTGGTTATTATATTGGTCAGCATAGCTGTAGCTCATGGTGTTGTTGTAAGGATTGAGATAATACGTGAAAGCTGCTTGGCTGGACTATTATTAATGTTGCTACTATTATTTTTATTATCCTTACCAACAAAAAACATTCCCACACTTAGGTGAGCATCTTTTTCACCCCATTACCGACCCAGGGGCGATGCCATCCAGAGCCAAGCCAGGAGGACTCAGCTCTCCGTGGTTGTTCAAGTGACTTTCTCCACTGTGAGTACCACTTCCTTCCGTTCCTGGATGTATGCCCCTTTGTACTGTGGCTCTGCCACTCATTCCGTCAGCAGGTGGAGTCTGTGTCTTCACCTGTTCAATCTGGGCTTGGCCATGGAGCTTGCCTTGGCCAATGGGACATCAGAAAATGTGATACAAGTAGTGATTTGAAAAATGCTTGCACATTGGGCCTTGCTTTCACTTGCTGCTAAAAACTCTTCTGGCGCTGTGCAGATGAGCCTAGGCTAGCCCACTGGGTGATGAGTGACACCTGCCACTAGCTGACATCCAGCTAACTGACAGACATGAGTGAGGCCTTCCTAGGCTGTCCAGCTGAGCCAGTCCAGGCAAGAAAAGCCACCTAGCTGATCCAAAGAACCATGAGACATAATAACTATTATTGTAAGTCACTAAGTTTTGGGATGTTTTGCTACGTAGCAAAAACCAACTGATACATCCTGACTCAAGGCTCAGAGATTCTTACCTGGGGGGGTAGTAGGGATCAAAAGTGTGGCCATCTCCTGTGTTAATTAGACAGGACAGGTTTCCAATGTAGGGAGAGAGGAGCCATGTAAGGGAGATGGTGACATTGTGAAAGATGAAACTCTCATTAGACACCGTCAGCTGCAGGCCTGCAGATCAAAACACAAAATATCATTTGCGAGTACAAAGCAAAATTGCATGTTTCTGTTTAAAACCTCCTCTCTTCTATCTACCTGTCCTTTATCTTTAGTGAGGCTTTTAAAGTTGTTACAATTTTATTTTTACTTTTTAAAGTTCTTTTGAATTTTATTTTTCATTCATAGGTAATACATAACCAAGACACAGAATTTGAAATGTAGGAAAGGTTCTATAGTGAAAAGAAAGCCCCCCACCACTGCTACCCTCAGCAACCACTGTTACTGGTCTCTGGAGGCTTCCAGAGACACCTACACACTCACAAGCACGTACATAGTTTGCCATTTATACAAATGGTGCTCCGTTCACTATTTGGCATCTTCTGTTTTTTTCACTTAGTATATCTTGGAGATTGTTCTGTATGAATTCAGTTAGAGCTGACTTGTACCCTTTAATAGCTGCACAATGTACCCTAATTTATTTAACCAGAATCCATTGATTGTCTAAATATATCTTTTAACGTTTAAAAAGACAAAAGGCAAAGCACCTTTAAGAAAATCTACTTGGCTCAGGGCGTATGAATCACTGTTAGCCATTTAGTGCACTGAAATTTTACAAATCCTTGAGCTTCGCAAGTTGGCCTGGAGGATGGGGTGAGGGGTAGATTTTGCTGGAGGTTCATCCTGCCCTGGGCTAATTTGTGCAGCACCAGCTTTTGATTTCTGACACAAATGAGAAAGGGAAAGATATAAGAAGCTGAATGCAAATGAAAAGGACTTTATTGAGCTTGTCGGAAAGCCATCGTGGTCCTGAATTATTGGTCCTGATTCACAACCATCTGAGGAGACTCAGGATGAGCCAGGCCCTTCTGGGCATAGAGGTGGAGGAGGGGGTCGGTGGGTAGGGGAAGAGGGGCTGATGGGTAAAGTCTCTTCCTGTCAGAAATCAGAAACTGACGGATCAGAACACATTGATTCACAAGGAGACAGGATATTTGAAATCAAAATCTGGCCCCTGTGGTCTCCAGACCCAACTTACCCCCTGTCCTAAACCAAGCATCTGCCTGATGACAGCAACACTGCCCAGGCAGATCTCCAAAGGGCACCCTTTGTCCATGAGCAAAACCACTAAATGGAAACACTGCCAAACCACGTGGCCTCTCTTCCCAGAAAATAGAGCGAGACTCCCCACTCATTCTTATTCCACCAAAGTGTGTTCCATGTACTTAACACCACCCTCCCCTTCCTGCACCCCCTCCTCCGTGCTGCCCTCCTCTTCCTGTACCGATGCACCCAGCTCTCCTGGATGGCCTGTGGGGACTTCGACCTCCCCTGACTCATCTTTTCCCCTCGGAGCTCCTTGCACCATTACTCATGCCCTCAGTAGAATTTGCTGTTCTGACCCGATTAATTGGTTAGACAATGGCGAAATGTGGTGTCACAGCCTGAGGGGAAATTGGCATTTATTTCTCTGTTAGTAGGAATGAAATCGATACAGCCATTGTGGAGGGCAATTTGGCAATATCTATTAACATTTAAAATACACATACCCTGTGACCCAGTATTTCCACTATAAGTGATCTGTCCTCTAAAAATAATCCCAGGCACCTATGGCGGTATATACACAAGAATGCTCCGGGGAGCCCTGCAGAGTGATACGTGACAATGAGAAACCAGAAGCCACCAAATGTCCATCAGTAGGGGGACTGGTTAAATAAATTTTGACATAATCTTATGATGGGATACTGGGCAGTCATTAATAGGATAAGGTAGTGACTTTGAGAGATGTCCAGGGTATATTATTAAGTGAAAAAAAATTGAGTTGTAGACTAACATATTTAACTTGTTTATATTTTTATAAAAATATACATCTATACATTCATACACAGGACTGTCTACAAAGACACTTTAAAAAGCAAGGAAGAATTTATGCTGAACAGTTAACAGTAGTTTCTTTATGGGGAATAGGACTGTAGAATTGAAGAGAGGGATTTTCTTTCTATTTTATAAAACTTTTATAAATTGTGGTAATATAGGTTACTTTTATGTTTTCACGATTTGCAGAAGTCCTGTGCTTTCTACAATGGCAGTCTGTGGGAAGGTGGCACGTGGGACTCCTTCCAATCAAGTCATCTTGGTTTGGTTGGTTGTGTTTATTGGGTCACCAAATTTAATTTGAAGGGTCCTAGGGT